ACAGCACCTATACATGTTTCATCTCTCAAAAATACTGAATTAAGATTCTAAATCAGTCTCCCTTGACCACCCACAGAGGTACAGTTCTGCCGCCAGAGCCCAAAACGCAGCCAGGGTGGCCGGCAGCACAGGGCGAGCGGGGCTCTCGTCCCCTGCCCCCCAGGGACACCGTCATTTTTGGAGGAAGCATGCCAATACTTTGTCATTAATACACACAGGGCTTAAAAGGAACAAAGATTGGTCGTGCAATCGCACACAAATAAAGGACGTGCTTTGTGTTTCCACTTTATAACACAGGCCCGGTGGCCAGCCTCAATATTCAGCAAGCACTCGTGTTTCACGGCCTGGGTAGGCAGGGGAGCGTGCCTCCTGCCTGCGCAGGCAGCGCCGGGTCCCAGCCTTCTGCTTGATTCAGCTTCTAGCAACTGTTAAAAAAAGATTCCCCTCAATTAACCCCCAACATCCCCCTTCTTCATTCCTTTATTTGGTTTTCATAAAGGCTACAGAAGTCACATACCACAGCATCTCTCCTACTACGCGGGATGGAGAAGGCAAACCCTTGGGGAGCCAGCCGATAACACCAGCCCTGGTGAGAGCACCCGGAGCCGCCCAGATGCTTCCCTCAATAACCCAGCCTGTGGGCTGTGCCGTACAGACCTCTACTCAAGGGCTGGGTTTCTCCAAAAGACCAGATTTATCGATCTCTTTGGATCTGCCCTCTCAAGGAAGCCACAGACCCTCTTCATGCCCGCTGACCAGCTACGCTTCTGCCAGCCGCTGAGTCCAGCCCCCCCCACGACCTACGGGGCTTCTGAATCAACGTCTTAAACAAGTCGCCTCTGCCTACATGAAAACAGAAAACAGGAATGAAGACAGCACTCGCTATAACATATTGCATGTTCCATTGAAAGTACACATTTATTCCAGTTTTATAGTATTTTAGGGGGGTAGTTTCTCAGCGGATATTTTGGTTTTTAAAGTTTTCACTGATTGCCTTACTGGTGAAACCCTGAGGAACTGGAAAAAGTTTTTGTATTTAGGATTTCTCCACTATTCCAAAATACTGGAGACCTTCAAATGTGCATCTATTCTTTCTGTTTTTAAACAGTGATTACTCAATTAGTGGCTAATTACACTTCAGGGTGTTTAAAACAGAGGATATTCCACAGAGGTTTTCTTCAAACAAGTGTCTTTCTTCCAACCTTGAGAAGACAAATGAAGATGCATTAAATCATCTTTTTCTCTGCTATTTTCATGTCAGTCCTCTAACGCACATTATCCCCACGCATCCCCAGGTACGCCACAGCCCTGGAGCCGAGCGGGGTCCTGGATACAAAGCCGTGGTTCACAGGACATCCAAAACAGGCTCTGGGAGCACAAACTGAAGATCTCAAACTTCTCAAAAAGTCATATATAAAAAATTTTCAGAAAGATAAAAACCACTCTACATAAACGAAGCTAGCCGCCCCTGCAGAACGGACGAAGCCAAAGGAAAGAGCAGCTTTTGTATATCCTGAAGGATTTAGTGGAACCAAGTCATGACATCTCAAATTTTTAACAAGTGTTCACTCCCTGAAGTCAGGAGAATCACACAATTTATAACAAAGCAGTCCTTCATATTGCGAATACAAATGAATCCTGTTTACAAGCACATCTTATGGCATACCACTGAGTACCTGGCAGCAAGGAAGAAGCGAGTATCGCCCGTCCAGCGGGGAGCTACCAGCTCCCAGGCGTACACGCTGCCCAAAGAGAGACTTCCATGCTGCCTTAACGTAGTGCTAAAATGATTCCATAGCTTCCTAATCATACTGCAATGTGGGAGCAAAGGAAAACGCACCGTTATCGTCTAAGTGCTGCCCTACATATAGGGAATACATTAACCTTCAAACATACAGAACGCTCTATCACAGGGGAAAAAAGACATTGTAAGTTTTGTGGAGCAAGGGGGTGTGTAGTTCCCAAAAGCACCGCACACAAGATAAGCCCGTCTTTTACAATAACTTCAGAACACAGGGAAAACAGAACTGCCACGAATCCTCATCTTCATATATTCGCTGGCTGATTACAGTTTCTTCCACAATAGATCACTATTAACGTTATTTAAATTCCACAATTGTACTGTGAACACACCTTTACCAAAAGAAAAAAAAAGGCAACAATACTCAAGTGCTCTTCGGTGTCTGAAAGATGTACTTATTTCAGCACTATAAATATTTCATAACAAAGTAGGAGTTGAAGCTTTAGCATTAAAAGAATATCAGAATTTTTAGACTGAACTTAAAGAGCGTATACAAAGAAACGCGTGTGCTTTGGCGGTCAATGCTGCAGCTCTACCAAAAAAAAAAAAAAAGGAGAAAATCTTATGATACAAATTCTAAATTAATTTTATGAAAGACTGCTGATGAGTACCAAACAAGCCCCATTGGCACAAACACGTTAAATTACTGGGAATACACAACCAGGAGGTTTCAAGTTGCATTCCTTTAAATACGCTGTCTGAACAACACTTTGAGCCTGAAAAAAATTAAAAACAAATGGTGTCATAATTATATTTGTAATGGAAATTTTTAATGCACTAATCAGTATTAAAGCATTCATTTCAAATAAAAGGAGTAGCCAGCAATATTTCTCTGTTAATTGCCATGTGGACCAATTTCTTACCACACAGCATGTTGGCTATAAATCGTAACAAGCAGTTTTAAATTGCTGCTGTTATTGCTCATCAAGACCGAATAATCCTGGACGGTGTTCAGAGAAGCTTCTGTAACGTCTATCTCAAACAACTATTAATTCCTCATTTCCATAGGGATGAAATTTCAAGCAACAACCACCAACTCCTCCACTGTTTAAATGGGGGGTGACAGAAAAGATGCAGAGACTGCAAAGATGGGACATGTCAAATATTTCAAAGGCCAAACTCTTCCCTACGGGAGCGGTGCAGCGCTGGAACAGTTTGCCCAGGGAGCAACCTCCATCCTCAGAGAGCTTCACAACTCAGGAGGTGGCGGACAACCTGATCCACCTCTGACACTATCCCTGCTTTCAGCAGAAGGCTGGATAAGGCGACCTCCAGGGGTCCCTTCTAATCCAAATTTTAATAAAAAGCATAGTTATCCTTGAGCAGTATTATTTTAGTATTTGATGCAGTCTAAGAAACAGCCTTTCTTGAGTAGATTTGAAATTCACAGTCAAAATACAGGGGCAATTCACTAGCTATACAACTATTATTAAACTGACTTCCCCCCCATTATTATCACTTTTTTAGGAAAGGCTTTTGAATGAATAGCCCACTGAGATTGCTGCTTAATGGTATAAGGTCTGGAAAGGATGGGGGAGGCAACATCACCTACCTCCCTTCTCAAAAAAAAAGAGAACGGCATAAGCTCAAAAAAACCAAAAAAACACTCAAAACAGTATTAGCAGTACAGCTACACAGTCTATTTCCTTTAAATTTTGATTTAACCTTCCTGTATTTACTGCAGACAGGGTTATACCTAAGGAAATAGCTGCTTCACTTCAAAGCTGTATTTGCTACTAGCTAGAAACCCTCTTCACAGTACTTAATATGCAATCTGAAAGGTCTTTTATCACTTCTCCCTTCAGACCTGTTAAAAGATTTTGTGTGGGCTCTCTGTCCTGGTTTCAGCTGGGATAGAGTTAATTTTCTTCTTAGTAGCTGGTATAGTGCTGTGTTTTGGATTTAGTATGAGAATAATGTTGATAACACACTGATGTTTTAGTTGTTGCTAAGTAGTGGTTACACCAGTCAAGGACTTTTCAGCTTCGCATGCTCTACCAGGTGCATGAGAAGCTGGGAGGGGGCACAGCCAGGGGGCCTGACCCACATTGGCCACAGGGCTATTCCACACCATATGACGTCATGCTCAGTATATAACTGGGGCGAGTTGGCCGGGGGGGAAGGGATCGCTGCTCGGGAACAGGCTGGGCATCAGTCA